CTCCCTTTTGGGTGGCTGCCTGCGATCATACATGACGTGCAGATCTGGTGTACTTGAGCACTATTTTGTACTATTACGCACTCATGTCCTGGATGTAACAGTTACACTGGCGGTTGTACCACCCATCTGCCTTCGTAATTCTAGGCCTAGTCCATTTCCTTTTGCTCCTTGTCTCTTATTGCCTCATTGGCACCTTCATTTTGTAAAGAAGAGAGAATATCATTTTCTCTGAAGAGATCTCTTCTCACTTCTTTTTTCTCAAGAATGGAAGTAAAAGTAAATCTTTAGAACAGGACACAGACAGCAAAAAAAGACAAAAACTTGTCAGGGGATTTAAACATTCCTTACTCTACCAAAAAATAAAAAGAAGTATGGGCTTTAGGTACACTATTATGTCACTAAAAAGATATACATAAGCAGGATATATACATATGAAATAGGTGTATTTTTACAAGTACACTTGTATTTTTTAATTAGATGGGCATTAGAGTGTTGAGATCCTTATTTGCCTTATTTGCTATAAAATTTCTTTTATCTCTTCAAGTGTTCTTTTAATAACAATGCCATGTACAGCGTGGTTTAAAATAGTAAGAGGACATCTTACCTACAATAAATAATTTATTATTCATCAACATTCTGTAACATTATCAGTGACCACTGACCACATATTAACAGAGACAGTTGAAACTGAAGCACCCTTCTGTGAATGGTTTATTTAAAACTCTAAATTGGGCAGCACAGTGGCTTAGTGGTTAACACTCTTGCTTTGAAGCACCAGGGTCCCTGGTACAAATCACATTGAGGACACCACCTGCAGCTGAGTTTGGATGTTCTGTTTGTGGGTGTTCCCTTCCACACTCCAAAGACATACTGGCAGTTCAGTTGGCTCATATATAAACTGTAATTGTATGTGTATGTATGAATTTGAGGTAGGGGCCTTAGACTGTACTTTCTAGATGGCACTGATGTGACTGTACAATATGTAAAGTGCATCATAAATTATCAGTGCTACAGAAATACCTGAAATAAAAATATTAAATATAATCATGCACAGTTTTTCAAATTACTCTAAAAGTTCCTTTGTAAAGTATTAGGATAACACAGTGAATCACAGATATATTACCATTACAGTTTAATGTATTGGGGACCAATAGGATGTAATGATCCATCCAACAGGCTGCAAGTGATTGGACCTTAAGCTTTGTTTACAGTGTGAGAAAAAAAAGGCAATTACAGAAGCAGGAGGATGAGCATTTCTTGTAAAACCACTTACTAATGATGAAATAAAAATAAAAATTTTACTTTTTACAATTACAAAAAAAAAGCATTTATTACTGCAAAACGGAAAGTTAATATAGGACACATAACAAAACTGCACTAAAATGCATTTATATTGAGGGTAAAAAAAAAAAAAATAAAAAAATATATATATACAGGTGAAACTCAAAAAATTAGAATATCGTGCAAAAGTTCATTTATTTCAGTAATGCAACGTAAAAGGTGAAACTAATATATGAGATAGACTCATTACATGCAAAGCAAGATAGTCCAAGCCGTGATTTGTCATAATTGTGATGATTATGCCTTACAGCTCATGAAAACCCCAAATCCACAATCTCAGAAAATTAGAATATTACATGCAATCAATAAAACAAGGATTGTACATAGAACATTATCGGACCTCTGAAAAAGTATAAGCATGCATATGTACTCAGTACTTGGTTTGGGCCCCTTTTGCAGCAATTACTGCCTCAATGCGGCGTGGCATGGAAGCTATCAGCCTGTGGCACTGCTGAGGTGTTGTGGAAGACCAGGATGCTTCAATAGCGGCCTTCAGCTCTTCTGCATTGTTCGGTCTCATGTCTCTCATCTTTCTCTTGGCAATGCCCCATAGATTCTCTATGGGGTTCAGGTCAGGCGAGTTTGCTGGCCAATCAAGCACAGTAATCCCACTGTCATTGAACCAGGTTTTGGTGCTTTTGGCAATGTGGGCAGGTGCCAAGTCCTGCTGGAAAATGAAGTCAACATTCCCATAAAGCTCGTCTGCGGAAGGAAGCATGAGGTGCGCCAAAATCTCCTGGTAGACGGCTGCATCGACCCTGGACTTAATGAAGCACAGTGGACCAACACCAGCAGATGACATGGCTCCCCAAATCAACACAGACTGTGGGAACTTCACACTGGACTTCAAGCATCTTGCAGTGTGTGCCTCTCCATTCTTCCTCCATACTCTGGGTCCTTTGTTTCCAAATGAGATGGAAAAGTTGCTCACATCAGAAAAGAGGACTTTGGACCACTGAGCAACAGACCAGGTCTGTTTTTCTTTAGCCCAGGTAAGATGCTTCTGACGTTGTTTGTTGTCCAGGTGCGGCTTGACAAGAGGAATACGACATTTGAAGCCCATGTCCAGGATCCGTCTGTGTGTGGTGGCTCTTGATGCACTGACTCCAGCCTCAGTCCACTCCTTGTGAAAGTCCCCAACACTTTTGAATGGCTTTTTCCTGACAATCCCTCCAGGCTGCGCTCATCCCTGCTGCTTGTGCACCTTTTTCTTCCACACTTTTCCCTTCCACATAACTTTCTATTAATGTGCTTTGATTCAGCACTTTGGGAACATCCAACTTCTTTTGCAATTACCTTTTGAGGCTTTCCCTCCTTATGGAGGGTGTCAATGATAATTTTCTGCACAACTGTCAGGGCAGCAGTCTTTCCCATGATTGTGAATCCTACTGAACCAGACTGAGAGACCATTTAAAGGCTCAGGAACCCTTTGCAGGTGTTATGGCTTAATTAGCTGATTAGAGTGGGACACTTTGAGCGGGGAATATTGCACCTTTTCACAATATTCTAATTTTCTGAGATTGTGGATTTGGGGTTTTCATGAGCTGTAAGCCATAATCATCACAATTATGACAAATCATGGCTTGAACTATCTTGCTTTGCATGTAATGAGTTTATCTCATATATTAATTTCACCTTTTAAGTTGCATTACTGAAATAAATGAACTTTTGCACAATATTCTAATATTTTGAGTTTCACCTGTGTGTATATATATATATATATATATATATATATATATACACACATACATACAGTGCTCAGCTTAAATGAGTACACCCCTTTTGAAAAGTAAGATTTTTATATTTCAATGAACACAATAACAATTTCCAAAATTTTAACAAAACAGTTTTAACCATTTGCTGCCTGGCCAATGCACTAGATTTCCAGGGTGGACGCCATTTGGCGTCCTCCCACACATGTGCAGTTTCTGCGCTTGCAGTGCCACGCAGCAGCGCGATCTGTCACCGGCCGTGTACCTCGGACACGGTCGATGACAGATCTGAGTACCGGCCCCCGTTGCCAGTACCATGTGACCTGCTGTGACCAATCACAGCAGGTCACATGACAGTTGTATACAATGGATGCTTCATTCATGCCATCCATTGTATACTAGTGTCTATCTGTGAATGGTCACAGCGATCACATGCACATGTCATGTGATTAGCTGTGGCCAAATCACAGCTAAGCACAAAAGAAAAAAAACCCTGAATGAATAATAGATGTCATTTAGGTAAATGCTTGCTTACAGCAAAGTAATTCTTTGCTATAAGCAAATTGTGTAAAAAAAAAAAAAAAAAATACTGATCACTTCCCCAAAGTAGTACAATGCTACCATGGTAAAATTGTACTACTTTGGTCATAGTGAAATATGAAAAAAAAAAATCTTAAAAAAAAAAAAAAAAAAAGTAATAAAAAAAAAAAAAAAATAATAATAAAAAAAAATATATATATATATTTTTTTTTCATACTGTCACTAGTCAGTGTCCCTGATCACCGCCATGCCAATTATATGAAGATGCTGTACTGCACTGGTGACAGTATGTAAAAAAAAAATTGTGAAAATTATTTTTTTCATTTTTTTCATTTTCCGAAAAATTATGACAAAAAAAATACAACTTCAAAAAACTCGCCATTCCTATTACGAAATACGTTGGACTGTCTACTTTACAAAGAGTAGTCATTTGGGGGATATCTGTACTGTTCTGACATCTTGGACTTCAAGAAATTAGATTGACTGTCAGTACTTCAGGATTGATCAATTTTCAGATCTATACCATAGTTTGTGAACTCTATAACTTTCCTACAAACTAAAAAATACATCCTAATTTTGGTTATTTTCACCAAAGATATGTAGCAGAATACATCTTGGCCTAAATTTATGAAGAACAATTATTTATTTGTAAACTTTTATAACAGAAACAAAGAAAAACGTGTTTTTTCTTCAACGTTTTTGGTCTTTTTTTGTTAATTTAGCAAAAAATAAAAATCCCGGCGGTGATTAAATACCACCAAAAGAAAGCTCTAGTTGTGTGAAGAAAATTATAAAATTTTAGTTTGGGTACAATGTTTTATGACCGCGCAATTGTCATTCAAAGTGTGAGAGCGCTGAAACCTGAAAAATGGCCTGGGCAGGAAGGTGTAAAATTGCCTGGTATTGAATTGGTTAAAGAACATTTTTTCAGCTCCTTACATGAAGGTAAGGTTGATAATATAACTTGGATTACAAAATCTTCAGTTTTACTCAAATTAGTTGATGCAAAAATGAATACACCCCACAACAAAAACTACTACATCTAGTATTTTGTATGAACTCCATGATTTGTAAGGACAGCACCAAGTCTTCTAGGCATGGAAAGAACAAATTGGAGACATATTGCAACATCTATCTTTTTCCATTCTTCAAGAATGACCTCTTTCAGAGATGGGATGCTGGATGGAAAGTGATACTCAACTTGTCTCTTCAGAATTTTACATTGGGTTCAGATCAGGAGACATACTTGGCCACGGAGTCACAAATGCAACAGTGACCTTAGATGTGTGTTTTGGATCATTGTCATGTTGGAAAAATGCACGACGACCAAGGGCACGGAGTGATGGTAGCATCTTCTCTTTCATTATAGAGCTGTACATCTGTGAATTCATGATACCATCAATGAAATGCAGCTCCCTGACACCAGCAGGACTCATGCAGCCCCACAGAAAGACACTGCCACCACCATGTAGGCACGATGCATTTTTCTTTGTACTCCTCACATTTGTGACGCCATACAGTTTTGAATCCATCAGTTCCAGAAACCTTTGTCTTGGTCTCATCACTCCAGAGTACAGAGTCCCAGTAGTCTTCTTTTTCAGCATGGGCCCTGGCAAATTCTAGGTGGGATTTCTTGTGCATGGGCTTTAGGAAAGGCTTCCTTCGTAGACAACACCCATGAATGCCATTCCTCTACAGTGTATATGGTATTGTGTCATGGGAAACAATCACTCCAGTTTGGCGTTCTACTTCTTTAGCTAACTGCAGTGAACTTGCATGGCAATTTTCTTCAACCCTTCTCATCAGAAGATGCTCCTGTTGAGGTTTTTACTTCCGTGGACAGCCTGGACATTTCTGTGAGATGGTTGCAGTTCCATCTTTGTTAAATTTTTGTATTACTTTGCAACAGTATTCTGACTGATAAGTAAAGCTTTGCTGATCTTCTTGTAGCCTTCACCGTTCTTGTGTAAATAAATACATTTCTTTCTCAGACCTTGTAACATTTCTCTTCCGTGTGGTGCCATTGCTGAGAACATGAAATGGGAAGGGGTTTTCTTTGTTAAGCTACTCCCTTTTATAATCAACTGTCTGCTGGACACCTGTTTAATGAACAATAAGACTCATCTGTAGTTGAATTCTTGTTAATTAGGATTTTGTTGTCTAAAATATAGCTTTGTGTCTAAGACTTTCATTGGGGTGTATTAATTTTTGCAACATGGTCTGGAATGAATTTGTTAGGAAAAATACTTTGTGTGTGTGCAAATTACCAAATTTTGTTTGCAATCAATAGCCCGCATTTGTGGGAGTATTGTGTAGTGTCCCATAGAAAATGTTGATTCTAAAAGCAAAGTAAAGGTTTTCTGACAAACCTGTTGAGATGTACTCATTTATGCTGAGCACTGTATATATACTGTATATACAAATTTCTAAATTGGTACTGAAAGCAAACGGTTACATTTGAAGTTCAAATGTATATGAATGAGTTGTCTCTGCCAATCTAATAAGCCATACATGCTTTCCAGACAGGAGATTCAGATACTGACCTCGCTTTTCTACACTATATTTAATCAGTACAGACTGGTCAGGAACCCACTCTAGCCTGTGATTTGACAATATTATTCACCTCCCACTGTTTGACAGCATTGTGCATATCATAAAAATCCATACATTGCTGTTATAACCTTTGTTTTCGTCCTCTTTTGCATCTCAGTGCTGCAAACCTGTACATAACTGCTCTGGACCAATTTACTGACAGTGGTGGCCCAAGTACAATGTGTACCACCACGGTCCCTTGGAATGTCCATCAAAAGGTGCATATGACTGGGTGACAACACAAGAGAACAACTGGAAGACAGTTGTCATCTTATAACAGTAAATCCTGAAAAAGCCATCCTGAGAAGGACAGCCTGTCCTCTGCCAGCATGTTTTCTTTGCTCTCTGTGTGAAAGTGGTAGTCTTAAAAGTCATAACATGCTTTCTGCATTGGAGATCTCTGGCTCTGGCTCTGGCTCTGGCTCTGGCTCTGACTCAGCAGTGGGGCATGTTGGGCCTCTGCAGAGAGATCACTGCTTCCACACAGAAAGCAAGGGTCCTTCTCTGCAGTATGCTGGCAGAGGACAAACCTTTCCCCCTACTTATCACCTAGCTTACAAAGTTAGGTGAAGCTAAGTGAAAACTCACTTTTCAAAGAATATCTATATGCAAAGAACCTTTATAACAATAGGATTTTTTTCGTGCTCATAATTTGCTGAATGCGGCTAGCACAACTTCAACTCATTTGCTGAGCTAAGTGAAAAATCACTTTTTGCCAATGTGCATTTTTACTTTACAAAGTGAATTATCAGTTAGCTTAATAAATGAGGTGAAATGATTCTGAGTTCAATCACTCAAACAGGTACAAGCAAAAATCCATTCTTTAAAAAATGTTCCTTGCACTTAATTGGGTATTCTTTGCAAAGTGAATTTTCATTTAGCATCACCACATTTACTAAGCAACGTGAACTTTCATTTTAAACATGCTCTACATGGTAACACAAATTGATAATCAGCCAATCATATGGCAACTCAATGCATTTAGGCATCTAGACGTGGTGAAAACGACTTGCTGGAGTTCAAACTAAGCATCAGAATGGGGAAGAAAAGGGGATTTAAGTGACTTTGATCATGGCATGGTTGTTGGGGCTGGTCTGAGTATTTCCAAAATTGCTGATCTACTGGGATCTTTACGCATAACCATTTCTATTGTTTACAGACAATGGTCCGAAAAAGAGAAAATATCCAGTGAGCGGCAGTTGTGTGGACAAAAATGCCTTGTTGATGTCAGAGGAGAATGGACAGACTGGTTGCTGGGACATTCAGATGGTAGGGTCAGAATTTGGCATAAAACCATGAAAGCAAGGATCCATCCTGCCTTGTATCAATGGTTCAGGCTTCTGGTGGTGGTGGTATAATGGTGTAGGGGATATTTTCTAGGCACTAGCAAGGTGCACTTAATAAAGTGGCCGGTGAGGGTATTTATTTTATTTAAACTAAAATTTCAGTTACATTTGAAGTGTTATCCCTTCCACTCCCAGTCTGTGATCGGCCAAGCAATAGATTGCAAGAAGATGATAAAAAGAATGACTGAAATACTATTTACAATTATATTGGATTAATACATAACAGGATTAAATTGGAATCTGCCTGCAGTTCCTTTAAAAACTCAAATAAACAAGGAAAATATAATAACAGCACTAAATAAATACATGTATATTAACCACTAGATCATGGCTGCAGAGTGAGGGGAAGTCTGAAGCATGGAGGAAGAGTGATGGGCAGAGCAGGGGAGGAGACTTCCTTTGGCTCGGAGCTCCCACTGTCACTGAAGCAGTAGGTGCAGGCTCACCGGGGGTGCTGCAGCTGCCTGACATTTTTTTTTTTTTTGTGTTGCATAATGCTGCAGTGGAAGAAATAGCAGCACAACCCCGTGCAACACAAAAAAATAAATGTAAGACAGCTGCGGCACTCATCTGCACCCAGTGTGAACTGCTCACCCCCCCCCCCCCCCTGCAGTACGCTACTGTTACACTCACAGTATTGTATCTATGGAGGAGAAGCATTGTCAAAATAGGACAGGAAATGTTTTAGGACTACAGAAATCCTCCTACTCCACATAGCATGGGAGAGAGGTGTTCTGTAGTACATAGAGAGAGCTAGGAGCACTGCTAGCTATTATCAGCCCACTGGTTTTCTGGCAGGATCAAAAGGTATTTTTTATATAACAAAACACTTTTAATTGTATACCTAACAGAAAAAAAGGGAGAGCTAATAAAATGTTAATTGTTAGGGTTTACATACATTTTCAGTGGTTAAACCAAAGGGTTCTTTTAACTTGTTTTTTCTGTGAGTCCCAGTGCACATGGCAGTAAATCATACAAATTATATCTATGTCTAGCCTATCTGATTTAACACAAATCATGGGAGTGATTTAGGTATGCATAGCTAATAAACACATTACCAAGCACATCATTGGTTAGACTCTTTCAGTTCATGGGATCTGTACTTGCTATAACTCTTTCAAGAAAAATCATGTCATTTTTAGTTTAAATTTAATTAATTTTTAATTGTCATTTTCGGTTTTCTCTGAATGCAATCTGAACATTTTTAAACTGGAGGGAAGCAGCTTAATTCCCAGTGCTTCAAGCTCTCCTCATAATAAGTAACCAATTATAAAAACGTAGCAAGCTGTGAGAAGTAGTGGGCGAATATATTTGGCACAGTACCTCGTATGAGCACTGCCCAGTTTCCTGAACAAGTGGTAGAACTATGAAAAAAGGTTAAGAAATGGGCATGTTATGCAGCCTAAAAGTAGGACTGAATTGCCTGCTGCTAGACAGCTTTCTACTAGAGAGTTAAAATTCACAAAGAGAAAAACTTTGACAAAAAATAATTACAGACATCTCAGTAATTTCCCTTTTATGGTAATTACACAAGGGTCATTATTAACTTTCATAGATATAGGAGAAAAGAGAAAAAGAAGGCAAATGGCAGGTGTGTTCTTTACACTTAACGCTTATAGGACAATTATAATTTAACCTTCCAATGACATCTAAGCATCAAGGTACCCTAAAGAAAATCTCTGTTTTGCCCACTCAATTCCTCTCCATTTAGTTCCAAGAGCCAAAGGCAATACAAAGCATGTATAGGAACTGAAGAGCATGTGACTCACCCATGTCACAGCCCTGGGCCAATCAGCACCATCACAAGGAGTCCTTAACCCTGTATTTATTACAGCTCTGGAGACTTAGTAGGAGATGTAGTTTAAATGTTCTATTCTTTCACTCCCTGCGGCATATTGTAATGGTAGAAGGTTAGTATACTAGTATGCTTCTTAGTAAGTCTACATTAAAGTAAACAACAATCACAGATTTATTTTAAAGACAAACATCGCTAGTTCATTGTCTGCTCACAGCCAATGTATTTACCTGTATGAATTAAAAAAAAATTCTACTAATCGCATCAATGTATGTCGATGTTTAATACCCTTAATTCTTCGTAAACTATACAGGTAAATATGTAGACAGTGGCAGCCATAATTAGTTATAACATACTCTGGCACTGCTATTTGTTTTGCAGGTCACCATAATGGCTGTACTCCACCACTCCTTTTCACGATGTAAAGCAGGCCATAGATGAGTCAAAAAATGAAAATTCCTGCTGACAGCCAGTACAGTTGTTTTTTCCATTATTAGCCTGCGGCAGCATGCAATTTTTTGTGCTGCAACCAAAAGTGCCTGATTCAACAGTGTGTTGATGGGGGAAACGTACAAAAATAAAACGGAACTGCGCATGAGCTAGGGAAGTATGAACCGAAGGAAAAAAACGCACACTGTTAAGAAAGTTCTTTCATACATTAAACATATATAACTAGCATGGACTAATGCACTCCCACCACCAGGAAACATCAATACTACATATGGTGTCATGGAATACACAAATGTCTTTGCATTAAAATGTAAAAATTTTGACAAACTGTCGGCTGGGGTAAGAAAAGAATATTATGTTTGTCCACATGGTACGATTTAAATAAACAAGGGGAGTGTACAGAGGGGGTGAACAGTAGAGGGGTGGCTGAGGTCAAACCACATTGCATCGCTACTGCTGGTGAAGAAAAAAAAGGTTAACAGTCAGGGCCATCTTTGACATTGACTGGACC